TGACGTCACAGAAGCGCTCAGGGCTCCCCAGTGACGTCATGGAAGCGTTCTGGGCTCCCCGGTGACGCCATTCCCCGTGACGTCATGGAATCGTTCTGGGATCCCTGTGATGTCACTGAAGTGTTTGGGTCCCTGGTGACGTCATCCCCGTGACGTCATGGAATCGTTCTGGGATCCCCTGTGATGTCATCCCTGTGATGTCACGGCTCTTTCGGGGATCCCTGTTAAGTCATCCCCGTGACGTCGCGGAAGCATTCAGGACCCTGATGACGTCATCCCCGTGACGTCACAGCACATTTCGGGGATCCCTGATGACGTCATGATTCTCTCCCCTCCCCCCACAGGCCCAGCTCGCACCGGACCCTCCCCGAGCGGTGAGTGGGGGAGGGGCTCTTTATGGGGTTCCCCCCCACCATTTTTGGGACAAATCCCACATTTTTTGGGACCCTCCGCTTTTTTTTTCCCCCTGATTTTCCCCGTTTTTCCACAGATCCGGCGTCGTTTGTCGAGTCAAGTTCTGCAACAGCCTCCCCGACATCCCCTTCGACCCCAAATTCATCACGTACCCCTTCGACCAGAGCAGGTCTGAGGGGAAATCCCCAAAATTCATGGAAATCTCCAAAATTAATGGAAATCCCCAAAATTAATGGCGGGAATTCTGAGGAAATGTCCCCAAAATTAATGGTGGGAACTGTGAGGGGAAATCCCCAAAATTAATGGCGGGAATTCTGAGGAAATGTCCCCAAAATTAATGGCGGGAACTCTGAGGGGAAATCCCAAAATTAATGGCGGGAAATCCCCAAAATTAATGGCGGGAATCCTGAGGGGAAATCCCCAAAATTAATGGCGGGAACTCTGAGGGGAAATCCCCAAAATTAATGGCGGGAAATCTCCAAAATTAATGGAGGGAAATCCCCAAAATTAATGGTGGGAACTCTGAGGAAATGTCCCCAAAATTAATGGCGGGAAATCCCCAAAATTAATGGCAGGAATCCTGAGGGGAAATCCCCAGAATTAATGGTGGGAAATCCCCAAAATTAATGGTGGGAACTGTGAGGGGAAATCCCCAAAATTAATGGCGGGAAATCCCCAAAATTAATGGCGGGAATCCTGAGGGGAAAGCCCCAAAATTAATGGCGGGAAATCCCCAAAATTAATGGCGGGAATCCTGAGGGGAAATCCCCAAAATTAATGGCGGGAACTCTGAGGGGAAAGCCCCAAAATTAATGGTGGGAAATCTCCAAAATTAATGGCGGGAACTCTGAGGGGAAAGCCCCAAAATTAATGGTGGGAATCCTGAGGGGAAATCCCCAAAATTAATGGCGGGAAATCCCCAAAATTAATGGCGGGAACTCTGAGGGGAAATTTTGGGGTTGATTTTGGGATGGTTTGGTGCTGATTTTGGGATGATTTTGGGGTTGAATTCGGGATGGTTTTGGGGCTGATTTTGGGATGGTTTTGGGGCTGATTTTGGGATGGTTTTGGTGCTGATTTTGGGATGGTTTTGGGGCTGATTTTGGGATGGTTTTGGGGTTGATTTTGGGATGGTTTTGGGGCTGATTTTGGGATGGTTTTGGGGTTGATTTTGGGATGATTTTGGGGTTGATTTTGGGATGGTTTTGGGGCTGATTTTGGGATGGTTTTGGTGCTGATTTTGGGATGGTTTTGGTGCTGATTTTGGGATGGTTTTGG